ATTATGAGTTTTATCAACAAATTAAATGCTAGTTTCTATAGCAAATCTAAAAATAATGACCCAGGAGGGTTTAACACCCTTCTGAACAAACAGCTTATTATGGATATGAAAAACCACAACCCAATCACTGCATTCTTGCTCTCTGATTGTGTCTTATCAAAGTACTACAAATAGTGGCCACCCTTTATATTTATGGATGCTCGCAGAGAGAGGAAATGACCAGAAGGGTGATCCTTGACTCGCGAGCATACCACCCCTAGATTTATACCTAAATTTCTTTTGCCACTCTTACTTCATCGCTACCATCATATATTGGACTTATCGCTTTTAGTATAAACTAATTTGTGACTTCTGCTTCTGCGTTTTCGCTCGCCACTCTACTCATCACTGCATCGCCACCATTACAGGCGCCCACGGGCACTATCTCAGATGGAAAAGTCAATTGTCCGCTTCGCGGACAGGCACTTTGTATGCTACACCAGTTCAAAATCAAGTTCATTGTTGTCAACTAAATTGTTTTCAAATACAACGTATTTGTTTGCTTAAAATTGAAGTTTTAATACCACTGGGAAAAATGATAATGGAAGGAAATAAAAGTTGACACGTCTGGAGTTATATATTTCAGAGCATTCTGCATCATTAATTGATCGCGGAAGGCTGTTATTGGAAATGAAGTAATAATTCAAAGGCAAGCTAGTTGTAGGATGATTCATCACTTTGTATTTGTAATTGTTTCTCTGTATTGGATTGGACTGAATCGCCAATCTCGTGTAAGTGCTGCATATATATTCAACATTTTTTTTTAATTTTATTACATCTGCGTAAATGTTAATATTATTCTAACCGCTGTAAATACTTTTATATTCTTATCTAGTTTAATCTCAATCGTGTTTCAATTTCTATTGGTTTTATGCTCAAGACTTTAACGTTTGGTGCTTAACAACTATTCTCACAATATATGAATCAAAATTCTGACGAATCAATTAAAGCCGCTCGAGGCAGAATACTTAGACTTCAGCTATGTTCTAACGTATGTAATTACTAGGTCATTAAATTATAACACTTCAGCTTAGTTCGCAGCCTCAACTCCCTGAGCGCATAAAGCATGTTCTTCTGGGAAGTACAGCAGGGTCTGCATCGTGGAATTAATTTCTTCCGCTAAACAAGGGAAGTAACTTTTTCAGCTGCTTAATTGTATCTCCTTATAGTGGAGGACAAAACTGTCACTTTTCTGATATTGTTATCTCTAGTCCTGTGATTCGAAAGCAGCAGAGAGAAATAGCAGTGACTGTCATTCTAAAAAACATTATTAAATCGATACAATTAAATACACGATTTAAGCTACATGTATATAAAAAAAATACTACTAACCGAATATAGCACTGTTACTAATTATAATTTTTATTCGTAGAAATCTAACAGTTGCTTTATGTAACAATGATTAATTTTCGAGTTTATTTCAGTAAAATTCGATGACATTCTCAAGAATACCAACTATTCCACTTTCTTTAAAGTTTTAAAAAATTGGAAACGAATTAAATAGTGAAGCTTGTAGAATAAAGATTTTTTTTCATTGACCACTTGGGTTGACGTTTATGAATTCAGGCTGATTAGCAATATTTGTTAGCCACTCTATCAAGGCCACCGTATTAAGAGGACTCACGTTGCTCCTACAATAAGGACAGATAGCAAAAAGAATAGAAGAAGATCCATGCCTTCTCCGGAATTCGAACCCAAAACTTTTCTGATGCAAGGCCAGTTCCCTAACCCCTACATAGTACGGCCGGTAGAATAAAGATAGTTATAACGATATTTCAAGAGTCTCAGCACGAGATGATAAATGGAGAAACTGAAAAATGGGTAAGTAAGGGTACCGGGGAAATAAGCGACGGCATCATAATGAAGTTTTAGGTGCATGAAGATGTTGAAGAAGAAATATTAAATTATAATATTCGAGAAGCTAGATACTCAGGGATAAGCAGATAAGATATGAACCACTGTAATACGACATCTTTTCTGAAGACAAAGAAATTAGGACAGAAGTGATCTGACGATTTCAACTACCTCATGATCTGAGAATAGACGCTTACAGTCTTTGCTAGGCGGGGAGGCCTTATTCAGAGAAAAGTAAAGTTTTTTCCTTGTCTATTTCAATCCAGACTCAAAGTCACTGTAATTAGCTGTGCGAGGTTGGTCGCAATTGCAGCACAATGCAATCTCAGTTAAGTCCTTAGTACAAGTCTAGTAGGGTTGGAGCCCGGCACACTTCATGCATCGTGATTACTAAGGCCCGGATTTTGATGACATTTGCATTTTTGGACATTTTTTGTCTTTTGGAGCATTTTTTTAGATTTATAGGGCATTTTTCTTTTGATTTTGGGGCGTATTTTGCATTTTAATGCATTTTTTAAAGTTTTTTGTTAATTTTTTCCAATTTTTATTATTTTTTTTTATCAATTTTCATTATTACACTGGCTTCCAAACAATGAAGAAAATCTATAGAATATTAACAGGTGAAGCAAAATCTTTTCATATTGAAGAAGAATTGTCAGTAAGTGAGACCGTCTTTTTCAAGTACGCACCTATAACATCATTAGACGTTGAAAGAAGCCTCTGCAGGAATGAAAATTTTCTTTCAGACCAGAGACTCTCGTTTACATTTCAAATTATCAAAAAACACTTAATAATCCAATGTAATTCTGATATTTAGTAATATTATGAGATGGAAGTTGTTATATCCATTAAAGTTTCTGTACAAAATAAAAATATTTTGGTGTCAATATATTTTCCTTTTTTTGTTATTTTAGGATATAAAACAAATTTTTCAAACTTTAAAGAACGCAGAACAAGTATTGCATTGCTTTATATTTTTTAAATGACTCATAATAGTTTTAAAGAGCAAAAAAATTTTAATTCAATATTTTTACTTTATTTAAGGCATTTTTTGCGCAATTTTTGGATTTTTAAGGGCATTTTTTGTCTTTTTTAAGGGCAGTTTTTTGACTTTTTAAGGGCATTAGTTCAGATTTTTTAGGTCATCAAAATCCGGGCTCTAGTGATTACCATTACAGTTCCTTTGGACGGGTTCGAAGATCTGGCAGCGATACCTCTAGATATGCCGCCAGCCACACCTGTAAGTGGATCCCCGTCGATGTTGTTGAGGTCGCAGATTCTGCGATGAGATTCCTTATTTTCCAAGATAACTAAGAAGACATACAAATTCAAGTGGGATGCAGCTTCGTGAAATTTTCTAACCCTTCTCCTAGATTGGATTAATTTTGCACAGTCGAATCCCCTTTCCTTCGCAAAATATCTCTCAGTTCGTAGGTGTTGAAGTCAGCATTTGACCCTTTGAAAATATCTTTCAAATTTTTCTGTTAAAAAGTTTAGCCCGTGAGTGGTCTCCAATGTAGTAATGTCCGCCAGCATTGGGGATGGACGGTAATAGCGGATTGCGCTAATGGTTTTCCAAAACATGGTGGACTGCGCTGCTAACAACTTATCCCTCCTTGAGAAAGGTTGGTGTACTGCGCTCAAGGCAAAACTCATGACCATCCATCCTACTTTAATCATGTAGTAAAACAATTTCAGATAAAAATGTCGTCTCGCCAATATCGTTCGCCAGAAGTTAGTGAGCTGTGGGGGGAGGGGGACATGTCAATTAGTGTTCCGCCATCTCCTGGCAATAATTTGTAATTTTAAAATACAAACTATATTTAAACTATGAAAAAAAAAAATTTTTTCAGTTCATTTTAAGGTGACAAGGACCTTTCGTAGGTCTAAATTTAATTTGATCGATGCAATTTTTTCTAGAATGTTGGTTAAAAAGTTTTAAAAAAAGTATTTGATATCCACTTGTCGTCTTAAGTTGGTTAAAAAGTAAAAGTTCTGGTGCAGTACCAAATTATAATTAAATTGAAAAAACTTAATTTAATATTTAATACTTAAATTTTAGGGAATTTTTAAAATAATCTATATTAATCAAACTTCTTCATATTATTTTAAAAAAAATTCAAATAATAACTTCGATTCCGGACTTTCCCGTAAACTTGACTCCTATAAATAATCAATAAAAATTTCCGCCAAATTCTAGGAAAAATAAATTGTGAAGAAATCATCTTTTATTACTTTTTTATAATGTTACTTAATACTATTTAACTAATTTAATCACTATTCTAATATTTTAGTAGTAATAAAAAATCTCTAGCTTTATCTTCTCAGTTGATAATTGAGTAGATCAGCAGATTAATGTAAGCTTAAGTTACATATTGAAATTCATATCGAGATGTTGCAATTATAAAATTTTATTGTGTGGTATGAAATCTTAAAATAAGGAAGGGATAATCTTTGTATATATTATTTGAGAATAAAGTTTTCAAACGAAAGACGCATCATTTTGGAATTCTCCGGATTTATGAAACAAGTAAGTGTTAGGATTTTTAAATAAAAAGTTTTACATGTAAAAAATTTTTTTTTTCTTATTTGATGGTAATTTGCAATAGAATGGTTTTTTACTTTCGATTAGAAATAAAAAAAGGCATGAAAGATTTTAATTTGAAGAATTTTAAGAATCATATTTTTTTATTTGTAAGCATTCTTTATTTTATGTTTTTTAGTTTTTAAATAACGGTTTTTTATTGAAACTTAAAACCTTTTGATGAAAATTATTGTCTAAAAACTTTTTTTGTAAAATTAAGTTACCTAAAATTATGAGCTTATGTATACTTCGCGCTTACTTTAATACTTGAAGTAAAATGATTCTTAAAACTATGGAATTTAAAGTTTAAATAGGCCTTTCATGTTACATCATTAAATTTAGTAAAACGATGTTTAAAGTTTTAATTCTAATAAGAAGACACGTATTTTTTCCCTGGTTAATTACAAATATTTTTCGATGTGTTTTGAATGTTCCTTCTTTAAAAAAAAGTTTTAAGGACTGACAAAAATTTAGAAACAGAAAATTCCTGTTTAAAAAATTACATAGTTTTAAACATAAATACCTCGTCTCCATCTTGGTTCAGCAAAGCTATAATGTTTTATTTCTTTATACCAATTCCTCACTATATCTTCTGGAGTTGGTCTTGCACCAATTAAATTAACAGTGCACAAGCTTTCGCCGATATCTGAAGGAGAAACAACAATAATCAGTTGCAAGTATTATATAATATATTTTATTTGAAGCCTTATTTACTAACTGAAAATCATTTTTAACTCATTGTTAACATTGTACACCTTGAAATGTTATTTTCTTCTTAACATAAACTCCATAATAAATTTTAAACTGATGACCTGATTTTAAAGAAGCAATTCTAAAGATTACTGCACATCAAATTAAATATGCTATTTACTTTGAACAGACTCGGTATTTCTTAACTAGACAATAGTTTACTGGGGTTTGGCTAAAATCTAGAAACACTTTTATACTAACTTTATGTTAACATTTTATCATTTAGATGCAAATGTTTTGGAAAATATTGCATTGCAAAAATGTTGGTTCAATTAGAAAAATCATGCTTTGAAGCTTTAAGAAATTATATAATGTTAAGAAATTATATAATGTTAAATTATATAATGATAAGAAATTATATAATGTGTAAGTTCGGTTTGACCACAATGAGTATTGAAAGTTAATAATTGTTGAAAAAATTATGGTTCATTTTGAAAACCTCGAACCTTTCACGAATTTTTGATATCTTGAAGAAAAAAATATTCCCTTCAAATTTCCCATACACTCAATGTTAAAAAAAACTTGATTTCTCGATTTTTTTTCTTTCTAATCTCTCGATAACTTGAATTTTTTTCCCCATAAATAGTGTAGATCTTTTTTCTGAAAATGAAAAAAATATTTCCAATAAAAAATTTTAAGAATAGAAAACCAATGCTCATAATCATAACCAATTCTCAAACAAGCACTTTCTGCAGTGGACACTGTAAGGAAATTTATTGAGAGGCAGCCGAATATGTCAGAGGACACATTCAAAGCTATTGTCCACTTAGTGTTATAGACAAACTTTCTTACACATCTCTATAGCAAACAACAATTCGATCTTTTTAACTGTAAAAAGTGTTTTTAGAATAAATATGGAATAGTAAATACGGAATAGTAAATAAGGTATGTAAAGAGCATTTTTCTTTATTCTACCATCCATAACATGCGATTTTCGATAATTCGAATTTTCGGTATCTCGAATTTTTTCTCCTCTCCATTCAAGTTCGGGATATTGAGGTTTGACTGTATTTAAAAAAATTTATATGGTTTTTTGATCGGGGCCCTTAAATCCAAAATATTTCTAATCGACACAAATATTTTTATGTAAAACATGAAAATTAAATAATTGTAAATGAAATTTGAATGCCAGAAAATATTTACAAATTAAATTCGAGATTTTTCTTTTTCATAAATGAAGGTGAAAATCTTATATTCTGAGCCAGTGTTTCCCAAACTTATGACTTTTGTGTACCCTTTCTAAATTTTTCGTAACGCTGTNTTGTCATGTTTTTAGTGCATGAATCTGAATTGAACAACCTGATAATGCTCACTCTGGTTATTGTTATCTGGTTGCTCACTACGTGCTCTTGCGCGCCGAATCCAATCAATTAAAAATGAAAACTGTTGCCAGCGCGAGAATAGAAATATCATCATTTAAATTTAATTAATAAAAAAAATCTTATCACTCACTATATAAATGTTCGCAGTACTGAAAATAGCCTTTGGCGGCAATCGTTTCTGCCCAAATTTGTGCTCCATCTTCTAGCTCTTGTAAATGAGTCAGATCAGGACTGTCGTGAATTCGCCGATACGTATTATGTGCAGCTATCGTGCGTTGTCGAAAGTCCTCTACGTCAAAAGACAAGTTCTTGGAAGGTGGTAGAAAGCAGGAATCATTGTCCGAATCTTTAAGAAAATTTATTAATTAGAAAACTGATTATAAGCTTTTTATACATTCATTGTTAATATTACACTTCTAGAGTGTCTACAATCTTCAGTTTTTAAAAATTGGTATCAAAGTTTGAAAATGAATATTTTAAGTTACTCGTGGCTACCAAAAAGAGATTTTTAAACAATGCAAATATGTATACATGTAAAAACTCGACGAATTGTTATTAAGTTGCTTGTTCAGTTGGGGTCAGTCACCACCTTCTACATCAGAAAGCCTCCACACGGTTTTATGTAAGTAGTCTGCTCAGACTATTTTAAAAGTGAACCGGTAGTGCGCATGAAACCAAATTCTATTTTAAAAGTGACAGAGAGGAATTCTTGATATATATTTGAGAATTTAATCTGTAGTGGTTGACAAGTAAGCAAGACTAACCAATCATATTCAAAAATTAAACAAATTTTTAGATATACATTTGTTACCTTATTTTTACTAGATGTTCTATTAAATGGTTCTCTCGTAAACTGGTTCCCCTTCATGGTGGTCTGTTCGGACTACCTATTAGAAACCGTGTGGAGGCTTTCAGTTGTAGGAGGCGTTGGGTCAGTTCAGATACTTGATAGCAACAGATCACTACATACCAGATAAAAGGTGAAATTTCTATCCTTATTACAATTTGATTAGGTAGGTAAGGCTGCCGAAGACTAATAATTGGCTACAAATAACCTCTTCCTTTACATTTAAGGAAAACACATTATCTTTAATATGTCAGACCTAGTTTGAAATATGCATGCCCGTTTTTGGTGTTGAAAAATTCAAACCCAAATCAAGAAACTTCTTACACGCATCACTGGTGCACCACATTATTTGATGACTTTATTGGCACACCAAATAAAAGGTTAAAAGTCTTCTATCACTTCTGTCATTTCCAATCATAGCCAAGAATCCAGTCTCACCCACAGGCAATTACTTCCTAAAAAGAAGTGGAGTGTCCACTTTGGGGACTGGTACTTTGTATTCAACAACAAAACAAGCAATGGCGGAGCTTTGGGAGCATTGCATATTTTGGAGATCTATCTTAAAATGTTATCTCTGAAAGTAAGGAGTAATACAAAATGAAGTTGTTTCTAGAAACTCCCGTAGGTGATATCAACAATACATAATACGTGGAAGAGAAAAGGTAAAATTTGCATCCTTATTAATTCTCAATCATATTGAAGGAGAAGCATATTTTACAAATCTCTATAAACGTATCAATAACGTGGCAAAGGTCAAATATCTGGAGAAATACATTAAAAATTAAACTAGATACATTCAATATTTTTTTTAAAAGTTATACAATGATGCCATACTTGAAGCCAGGGGTGAAGGCGAGACGGAAAAGAGGAAAGGCTGGTAGTAAAACCATTTCAGTTATAGCTAGTTTTGGGGAGGAGTTTACTTATTCTTTTTTTAAATTTTTTAACAATATCTTCTTTATCTTGGAAAAGAAGCAGTTTTATATATATGCCAGAATTATAAAAGAAATCTTGATAGTTACAGATATTTCATTTTTTTCGAAAAAAATGCTGGAATGAAATGTTTTACGTACCAGGTTTTTTTCTTTTCCGTCTTGCTATATAAGGGCTTTCACCCATGGTCACCATATGTGGACGACTAACTTTCAAGGAAGAGACCCAAGGCACACGCCCCTCTTTACACGCAATTATAGTAGGGGTCTTCTATCATTACACTTCTCTTCCTCTCTGCATTCCCCCCACGTCTTGCAGATAGATTTTAATTCATGTGTAACAGTCCATTGATTTGGGGACGGGATAGCCAGGTTGGCAGGGGGACTCAAGTTCGAGCGAATGGGAGTTTGTATCTGCCGGCCTTCCCAGTGTAGTAAATGGTGACTTGTGAACGTTAAATTTGTCGGGTCATCAAAATCCTCCGTGTTTTTATAACAAATAATACCTCTGAAGGAACTGAATTGGAGATTGATCATTCCCTGGTTCAGGTCAAAATTACGATCTGTGAAAGAATGAATAGGTCCACCCTATAAACGGGTGTGGCAGAAATTTAATTCTTAGCCATAGATGGAGCCACTGGAAAACCAGAACAATCACCCCCCTTGTCTTAAATATTTCAAGACAACAACAACAAAGATGAATTTAAGTTAAAGATATGCTAAAAAGAAAACTAAAATGAATGACGCTTTAGTTAAAAGAGTCAATTATTGGTCACTTTACAATATATTAGAAATCGATACCAGCAGGATTTATCAAGATATAACAGACAAAAAAGAAACTAATTTGTCAGCAAAAATTTTCTGACCAAAATTACAACTAGCTAAGGTACTCAAATTTTCTCTGAAGCTCTGAGATCGACAACAGTATTAGTTAAATTTATTTTACAACTTGAAGACATCGCTAATAAATTTAAGCGACGATTTGCCCTTATTATACTCTAAGCTGTAAATACACTTTTCAAAATACTACTAACTTCAAAGGAGACATTTTAATTTAAAGAGGTGGAACCATATAAATGATTAGATGATTTAAAACCACATAATTTTAAAATCATATTTCATGTCCCTATTAAAAATGGGAAAAACAAAATAAGTTGCAAGTAAAAGGCATAATTTTATAATAGCATTATCTTAATTGCATCCTCTGTTTATAACTCCCACTTTATACAATTTTTTCAAATAAAATAAAAAAATAGTCAATAAAATAAATTTCAATTCCTACGCATAGATTTTTTTGTTAAATTAAAGCCGTAATTGAAAAAGAGTTGCAATCTTTCCCCCACTATTGCCTGCAACATGAAAGTTTTTTTTTTCTGGGGGGGGGATATGCAATGAATAACTTCCTTAGCAACGAGTAGCCAATATTGGGATGTCTGGATTTTTTAATATTGTTTCTCTACTCCTACATAGGGCCAATACCGGCTTTTAAGGGTTATAGGGGTGAACCATTTAAGAGATCTTAAAATAACATGCATATGCTCAAAAAAATTATTTTCTTTATTATTAATTCATTTGAACTTGGCGAATGACAGTTACATATCAATTAAAAGCAATCTGCAAGACATGGTAGGAGAATCACAATTTACATAGCTGCCAACTTTTACGCATTTGGCGTAAAATTTCATCTCTATCTTTAAAATGGTAGTAAAATGTATGCTTTTTATATATGTCTTGCATTTATAAACTTGATTTATAATCTTTTTCACTACCACTAATTTTAAAAATATTAAGAATATATATGAATGTGTAATACTGCTGTAGAGTGCTTCGTAAACTTTATCAAAATACAGTGAACATACCTGTCAACTCTCCCGGATTTTGCGGGAGATTTTATTTGTATATTTAAAACAGTGGTAGTAAATATATACTATTTTTTCTTTTATAAATTTAATTTTTAAATGACTTTGATCACCACTATTCTTACAAAAATTAAGCTTATATATATTAATATGCGTTACTATCATAGTTGTTGTCAACTTAATTTTTTTCAAATAGATCGAATTTGTTTGCTTAAAATTGAACTTTTTATTCCATTTTAATACCACTGGGAAAAATGATAATGGAAGGGATTACAAGTTGGCAGGTCTGAGTGTATGACTCTGCCTAAAATTGTAATTTAAATTCCATCTTACTACCACTGTGGAAAATGATCCTCGAAAGGATTAAAAGTTGGCAGGTATGCAATTAGAGGAAGCTGGAGTGCATAAAAGACTCCCTATGCTCAGATTGGGAATAAGAAGAATATTCATGCATTCATTTTATATACACTCGGTCTCCATTTCCTTGAAAGTTTAGTCATTCAAATATGATGAAATTACGTTAGACAGTAACGCCTACTTTCTCTTTTAAGCCTTTATCCGCAGAACGGAGATTTTACGTATGGTAATCACCATCGTAAGTTAAACAGAGAGCAACGTGAATAAATTTTAATTTTCAAAATTATAATGAAGTTTACAAAGATAAATTGTTATCATATTTTTGAAAATCCTTAACATTTTTAGAATTCTCTCCTTTACAGGCATTTCCAGGGAAAAAGATACTTAGAAATTCTGTAACTTGGCAATCGTAGTGAGTTCTATACCAGTACTAAAGGCTATTGTTTTCCTTTTATTCTCATCAATTAAACTAAACAGACAATAGTCTCTCAAAAATAGGATAGTTATAGATTTTCCTTCAAATAACACTCACGCAAATACATTATTAAGCTACTAGTATAACTACCAGTATTAAACTATTACAAGTTGTTACATTTATATTAAGTTGTTACATTTAAGTTGTCACATTTATATTAGCCTTCAGCTTTTATGAACGTACGTATAAATAAAGCTTTCTGTGCAACTTACTATGCGCGGAAGGTAAGGAATAGATAAAATCTATTATATATCGTCGACTTGCTGGCTGGATTCAATGCTTATTTCTCCAAATATTTGACAGTTTCCAACTTTTCTTACATCCGATACGTCTTAACATATAGCGCACATTGAAATAATTAAAAGCTTATTTCAGAAACGCCCACACTGGATAGAAACTGCCCATACCACGCGTAGATGACAGGTGAATTTCGTATCCCCATTAAAATAGACAAAGCCTTAAGAGTCCCGCAATATCTCACTTAAAATGCTATTTCTGGTAGCCTACTAACACTCATATAAAATATATTTCTAGAAACGTTGACAAAGCAACAGCTAATGAGCAAGATAAAAGATTAAATTTGAATTCTCATTAATATTCACTCCAAAAAATTTTTTGAAAAAAGTTAGTACCGCTACAAAAATAAAATTATTTTAAACTGATTTTCTTTGAAACACTTACGTCCAAGAATCCTGCGTTTCTTTTCCGTCAACTGATTGAAAAACGTTGATTTGCTAAACTGGCCCTGTCTGGCTGCGGCTAATCGACGAAGAATTATTAAGAACAAGAACTCTCCCTTCAATATTCGTTTAGGATAGGGGTGGTGCACAACCTTTTTGAGTGAAGGGCCACTTGCACAGCAGGCTTGCTAACGAAGGGCCGCAGATCTATTTAGACATGTTAA